GCCCTTAGGTGGCAGGGGGCACCCTCCTCCGTATGAGGTGTGTGGTGGGAGCAGCGGCAGCGGCGGCGGAGCAACGAGGCAGCGGCGGCAAGATCGGCAAGGTGAGCCCTGGTGTCTAGCGGATGTAACATCGAGAGGTGGAGCCCGATGACGATGGAGGCGGAGGTGGAAGTGTGGTGACGTGGAGGTGCAGGCGCGGCTGGAGCTGGAAGCGGACGTGAGTCGGAGCTGGAGCTGACACAGACGGCCCCCCTCCAAGGACGGTCCCCCCCAAGGAAAGCCACCACAACAAATGAAAGACCTACTCCTGACACTAGAATGGAAGCGCCGATTCAAAGACCGCCTGGAAGGGAGGAGCTGAACCAAGCCAGAGAACAGCAAGCCCTGCCACCTTAGATAGGGTAGTAGCATTTGAAATGTATGTGTGAACCGCCCAGAGACCCTTCGGGGTCAGGGCGGTATATAAGCCGAATGTATAAATAAATAAATACCATTTTTTTCAATATCTCACTATCACCCAACACTGAGTTCTAGGGCTCCATCTCCCCAGAGCTGGAGACAGCTGCCTAGCTTGTGGGTGACGGATGGGTGGCAGGGGGCCTCCTTTCCTGGGAAGGACAAGGACGACAACAACTGGCCACCCCAAGAGCTAAGGAGAAGCGAGAGGCCCAGACAGCACAGCCTTCCACAGGCCGGACCCAGAGGGGAGTCTGCGGAGGAGGAGAGTTGCCTTGAGCCAAGAGGAAACGAAACACCTGAGACCTGCCGACACGGTGTGTTTCTGGCTCCTGTGGCTCACTGCCGCGGAGAAGGGCAGCCAGAGAGAGCTGGAGCGGGTGGGTCACGGAGGCAGGAGGCAGCCGCAATGTTCCCTCTAAGCTGCGGAGTCTCGTGAGCAAAAATTCTGCTTTGTGAGCTACTGGCATTAAAGCTGTGAGCAAAGAATTTGGCAGCTGCATAAATCAGTTTGCTCTAGAGCCCTCCTTCCTGAGCTAAGGCAAAAATGTGTGAGCCGGAGGCTAAAAAACTGTGAGCTGGCTCACACTAACTCAGCTTAGAGGGAACACTGGAGGCAGGCCCCTTCAGCAACAGCAGAATGCGAAACCCCTGTCAGGCACACACACACACACACACACACACACACACACACCCCAGCACAGACTGCCGATGTCACCAGCCAGCAGGATACCTTGCATCGTCCAGTTCTGGGCTGGAGGGGCAGTCCCTGTCCGATAATGAGGGGATAATGAGTCCCTATCCTTTCCCTGAAGGGCATTCGGGACTGAGGGCACTGCCCTGGCAGAATCGGCGGTGAGGGAAGCGACCAGCATGAGGAAGACGAAGCCAGGTGCTTCCCTTTCCATCTGGATAAAGGAGGATTCCCGTATCAGGCCAGTGCCTGACCCTGACCCCTGGACACGGAGACCACGTGAAAGGCGTGCAGGAAACAAAAGAAACAAGCACCCCACAGCCAATGTTCCCTCTAAGCTCTGGAGTCTTGTGAGCAAAGATTCTGTTTTGTGAGCTACTGGCATTAAAGCTGTGAGCGAGCGATTTGGCTACTGCACAAATCAGTTTGCTCTGGAGCCCTCCTTCCTGAGCAAAGACAAAGATGTGTGAGCTGGATGCTAAAAAGCTGTGAGCTAGCTCACACTAACTCACCTTAGAGGGAACACTGCCCCACACGGTTCCTTCGCCCTTTTCCCCTGGTTTCTCACCCCTCTCTTTTGTTTCCTCAGAGTTGTATCTTTGTTCACATGGATGTTGTGCTACAAAAGGCACATTTTTCGTTCTACAATAAAATGCCAGTTAAAAGAGAAGAATGCCTCTCTGGGCCTCTGCAAAGAGCCTTTCTTCTGCACTCACTACAGTAAGGCCACGTGGAAAGTACTTGCTAAGGGCTCCAAAGTCTTTTGCGAAGGCTTGAAACACGTCAGGAGGCGTTTGCGGCCTCGGACCCAGGGTTCCCTCTAAGCTGAGTTAGCGTGAGCTAGCTCACCGTTTTTTAGCCCCCGGCTCACACATTCTTGTCTTCACTCAGGAAGGAGGGCTCCAGAGCAAACTGATTCATGCAGTAGCCAAATCGCTCGCTCACAACTTTAATGCCAGTAGCTCACCAAGTAGAAATTTTTCTCACAGGACTCCACAGCTTAGAGGGAACATGTCGGATCCCGCACGTATAAGTCCCTGCCCTGTTCCCGTCGCTGGCTGTGAGCTCATGCAGCCTGCCCCTTCGATCTGTAACTGAAATGTCCCAGCCGGTCTGAGCCACCATTAGGGTGGGAGGGCGTTCCTGAGGAGTTGTGTTTCTGGCTCCTGTGGCTGAATGAACTTCAGTCCCCACCCCCCCAACAGTGGAAGCCCCCGAGCCTCCTGTGCCCAGGCCCCTTCTTTCTCCCGCCTTCTCCCGCCGGCCCTGTGGTGTCTGCCGGGGCAGGCTGGCTGGGGCTGACCGGCCCCGGCGGAGCGTGAAGATGTTCTGGCTTTGGGGGGGCGTTTTCATGTCGTCAGGGCGTGCACCCCGGCTGCTTCTCCCAGGGCACAGAGCCAGCCTCTCTGACCTCGGCCAGCGGCACTGCGAGTGCGGGCAGCTCTGGACCCAGCCCAGTGCGTGATCCGTTCCATATGTGGCCAAGTGGGAGGGAGAGGGTGGCCTGCTTCCACCGCCAGAAAGAGAACACGCAGCAGTCCCTCGCTGTGAAAGCACAAGGCTTTGGACGGCAAGGGCCGGGAGCCATCTGCTTGGGTGGTTTCTGTCCCGTAAATGACACACACATGGGGGAGGGGGGGAAGGGGCGGGAGCTGGCAGGAAGACGCCCGCCTGGTTTGGACGGAGCGCCGGTCTGGCCTCAAGAGAGGTTTGGGCAGGGTCCGGTTCAGCCTGGCTCTCTCCCCAAGTGCGTCCCAGAACTGCTCCGTGGCTCAGCCGCATCCTGGATTGCTTGTAGCTCACGGAGGCCCCAGTTGGGAAAGCGGCTGGCCGGGCACAAGGCTGAGAGCCGGCCTGGTGCCGTGGACAGCATGGGACCAGCAGCCCTTGGCACAAGGCCCTCCAGCCTCAGTGGCACTGTGCAGAAAACGGGAGGAACGGCATCGCTGAGAAGACAGAGGCCGCCCTTGCTGAGCATTTTGCAGCCTGACCAATGGGAAGGGGTGGGGAAGGTCACCCACGAAGGATCACAGGGGTTCTGAGCCCACCCTCTTCTTCCCTAGAGCTGGTACCGACCCTAACAGCCAGCCAGAGCCTGCAGTAATTAAACAGAAAAACCACCAGCAAAAGGTTCTCCAGGCAGACCCTTGCTGTCCTCAAATTGCCTCTGGCTCTGCAGGGAGCCAAGATCTTCGGCACACAAATAAAGTGTGTCTGAGGGGAGCATGGGAGCCACCCCCCCAACCCCCCCCCCAAGGTTAGGCCTTGGACAGCCCCATCCAGGTGGTAGATGGTGAGATGGACCAATAATCTGCCTTAGCAGAAAGCCTGCTCATGTGTGCCAATGGCTAGCCAGTGGCCCCAGGGAAAAGAACAACAACAACAACAACAACAGCCTTTCAAGGAAGGCCCCACGTCTAGATTGCTCTTCTGCAGAGCGGTGGTGCTCCTGTAGCCAGGCTGGAGATCAGCTGCAACGCCAGGGGATCTCTAGTCCCACCCAGAGGCTGACAGCCCTACTCGACAGCTGGCCTGGGAGCTGGAAGCGCAGTCTTGCTTGCAACGGGATGCTGGCAAAAAACTGTGTGTGTGTGTGAGAGAGAGAGAGAGAGAGAAACCTCATTGCAATGAGACGCTGGCAAAGCCAAAGTGCTCCCCCAATGGACTTGGCAGATACACAGCATCTCAGCATAAAGGTAAAGGTAAAGGTTCCCTTGCTCGAAAGCCAGTCGAATCCGACTCTAGGGTTGCGGTGCTCTTCTCCGTTTCAAAGCCAAAGAGCCAGCGCTGTCCGAAGACGTTTCCGTGGTGATGTGGCCAGCATGACTAAACACCAAGGCGCATGGAACGCTGTGACCTTCCCACTGAAGTGGTACCTCTTTATCTACTTGCAATTTCTTGCTTTCGAACTGCTAGGTGGGCAGGAGCTGGAACTAGAGACGGGCGCTCACTCCGTCATGCGGCACACTCGGGTCTCTGACTGCTGAACTACCAACCTTCCACAGCCTGCAGTTCAGCGTCTTAACCACTTGAGCCACCGCAGCTCCATCTCAGCACAGAATCCTAGAATCACAGAGTTGGAAGGGGCCACAGAGGCCACCTAGCCGAGAGCATCCCTGACATGGGTTTGTCCAGCCTATCGCCCACACGGCACAGCTGCACTGCCCTAGGCAACTGCTTGGCACAGGTCGCAGCCTTGGTAAAAGGTCCCACTCTGCACCCACATGGGGAGAGCGCTTTTGCTTCACTGGGGCCTCCTCTATCGTCAGGGGTCAGTAACAGCCTGCCCTGCAGGGTGGTGGTGAGAACAAACAATAACCCAGGCTGCCCTATAAGGAATGCTTCGGGCTAGGGTTGCGGTGACATGAGGGGTCTATGGTGAACGGAGTGCATGACGGGGGGCACAGAAGTGCAGAGGTCAAACCGACACTGTCCCGGGCGAGGCCCAGGCTGACGGCAGCTGCCTCCTGCCCGGGTGGGAGGGAGGGAGGGTCTCTGGTGTCTCCGTGGTGGGCCCAGCGTTCCCCTTCCTTCCTTCCCTCTGCTCCGGCCGCCCTTTGGAGCGGACTCTTGGATTTCACAACTGAGCAGATAAAACTGACGCAGGAGGACTCGCCAGGCGAAGGCACCCTGGGCCTTGAGACCTCGATGTGCCCCAGACGGTAGCGGGGCCGCCGCAGCCTGCTGCTGCCAGGCGGGCTGACCTCTGGCGGGGGAGAGGGCCCGGAGCCTCCTCGGCGGGCTGGGTGTGGAGGCAAGGGAGGAGGCCGGGGCCTTGCTGCAGCAGAGCCCCCGGGAGCCGGGCTTGCTCCTGAATCTCATTATTCACATGCCTGGTGCTGCACTCTCCCTCTACCAGCGCTGCTGGAGGAAAGGAGGCGCTTCCTGTTATTCCGATTCAAATCTCGAGCCGGACAGGAGGGAACAGGCAGCAGTGCCGGGCCAGGAGGGGACGCGAGGATGAGCCCCCCGGGCTGGCCCTTCCAGCGGCTTCTGCTGCTCCTTGTGGGTGAGTCGGACGACTTCAGGGTGTCTGCCGGGCGTGGGGGCCAGGGTTCCCTCTCAGCTGAGTGAGTGTGAGCCAGCTCACAGTTTTCTAGCCTCCAGCTCACACATTTTTGTCTTAGGAAGGAGGGCTCCAGAGCAATGTTCCCTCTAAGCTGTGGAGTTTTGTGAGCAAAAATTCTACTTTGTGAGCTACTGGCATTAAAGTTGCGAGCAAGCCATTTGGCTGCTGATTAAATTAGTTTGCTCTGGAGCCATTCTTCCTGAGCTGAGACAAAAATGTGTGAGCTAGAGGCTAAAAAAACGGTGAGCTAGCTCACACTAACTCAGCTTAGAGGGAACACTGCTCCAGAGCAAACAAATTTATGCAGCGGCCAAATCACTCGCTCACAGCTTTAATGCCAGTAGCTCACAAAGTGGAATTTTTGCTCGCAAGGCTTCAGGGCTTAGAGGGTTAGGGGACCAGTGTTCCCTCTAAGCTGAGTGAGTGTGAGCTAGCTCACAGTTTTCTAGCCTCCAGCTCACACTTTTTTGTCTTAGCTCAGGAAGGATGGCTCCAGAGCAAATGAATTTATGCAGCAGCCAAATCGCTCGCTCACAGCTTTAATGCCAGTAGCTCACAAAGCAGAATTTTTGCTCGCAAGACTTCAGGGCTTAGAGGGAGCATTGGTGGGGAGTGTGCTTGGGGGAGCCTCTGCTTGGGCATCCCACTCTTGGGAGCGACGCCTGGCCTGGGACTGGCTGCCCGCAGAGGGCAGGCGTTGTGGGGCAGGGCCGCTCCTGAGTCCCGTACCCCCTGCCCCAGTCTCTGCCTTCCACCACAGCCCTCAGCCCGCTTTTGCCCTGCCCTCTTCTTTATTAGCGATACGACCGTCTTGAGGCTCCTCTGGGACTGTGGCCTGTCCTTTGCCATGTTCTTCGCCATCCGGGCATCAGTGTGCTTGTAGGACCCGTCAAAGAGTCATTCCGCAGGGAGGACCTCCTCGCTCCCCCGCCCTCTGGTTTTGCTGTTGCCCCGACATCCCAGCATTTGACAGGGTGACAGAGATTTCTGAAGGGCAATCGTTCTTGCATGTCTCTTCTGAGAGAGCCCGCGTGGGGGCTTTCCTGGTGGGCATTTTGCCCACCTGCTCCAAGCTAGTTTGACATCAGGTGGGCTGGGAACACTCTCGGAAGCCTCGGGATGAAAGGGCTGAGACCCAAACGGTCACCACGGTAAGGATGCCAGCCTCCAGGTGGGACCAATGTTCCCTCTAAGCTGTGGAGTCTTGTGAGCAAAATTGCTACTCTGTGAGCTACTGGCATTAAAGTTGTGAGCGAGCGATTCAGCTACTGCATTAATTAGTTTGCTCTGGAGCCCCATCCTTCCTGAGCTAAGACAAAAATGTGTGAGCTAGAGGCTAAAAAACTGTGAGCTAGCTCACACTCACTCAGCTTAGAGGGAACACTGGGTGGGACCTGGAGATTCCCCGGAGTTACAGCTCCTCTCCACAGAGATCTGTTCCTCTGGAGAACATGGCTGCTTTGGAGGGTGGACTCTGTGGCCTTGTGTTCCCCACTAGCTAGGGAACACCGTCTCTAGTAAGTGAGACCAGCTCCGTCCTGCGGGGACAGGCCACCGGGAGCCGAGTCAGGAAGTGTCTTCGGGCCTGCGGAGGAGGGTGTGCCGCCTTCTCAGCCGCAGCATCGGGAATCTTGTCGAGGCCCTTTCTTCCTCAAGCTCCTGCCTGTCCTTGGCCGCTGCAGCTCTCGGAGGAAGTGTGTGCAGGAGGAGCGCTTCCTGCCCCAGGGAGCCACTGCTGGGGTGTGAGAGGCACACATCGCTGCCGCCGGCCATGCAGCAGTCATTGTCTGTCCGCACCTCCCACTCACCACGGAGCTGTTCTTTTAAGCGTGAAACGGATTTTGGAGGGGGACTTTAGAGCAGAGAAGCAGCAGGGGGGGCAGTAGGAGAGAGAGAGAGAGAGAGAGAGAGGGAGAGAGCCTTCATTGGATTTATCTAGCTTTGTTCGTGAAAAGTACACAGACAGAGAGTGATTTCAGCAAAGCCTACTTTATTCGATCAGGAACAAGACGACTTTGGCCAGCTTATATCCCCCGAGAAACCGCCACCCAAAACACACCCCTACTTCCCTATAGGTTACTTACAGTGGCCGAGAGTCCCATAGGCTCTCAGCCAGGAACCTAGCCCCCTGATTGGAGCGGGCTAGGATCCGCATAGTCCATTGTCTCTTGGAGCGAAGCTCGACGTTTGTCTCTGGACTTGTCTGGACTGGATACATTACAGTTCGTCTGCTTTTTCTCCAGGGAGGGAGCTCAGGGCGGTATGCACAGTTTCTCTCCCGGCCCACAATTTTATTATTACAACAACCCAGGGAGGTAGGTTTGGCTGAGAGAGCAACTGATCCACGGTTGTCCAGTGCCCGGGATGATCCTCTACCCACGCTACCCCTCCAAGCTACCATCAGGCTGGCATGGTTTCCAGGGCAAATCCTCTCCATCGCAAACACTAATAGGAACTGGGGCTTCTACATCCGTGCCCAAAGTCCATTTCTAAAACTCTAGAACTTTTGAGAGAACCTTCCTTGGAAACTTTTGCGCACCCCCTCTCACTCTGTCTCTCTCTACTTTGCAGGAGCTTCAGTGCTGGGCGCTCATTCGGAGACCACAGTGACCCCACACAATGCCAGCTACTCTCTGGAAGAAGACAAGTCAAATGCCACAGCTCTGGAGCTTGATGTGGAGAGCTATAAACACATGATGAAGTTCCTCAAGGACTATCCTATGTTTCAAGGTCAGCAAGGCCAGGCAGTTGGAGGGGAGGGGAGCGGTGTTCCCTCTAAGCTGAGTTAGTGTGAGCTAGCTCACAGCTTTTTAGCCTCTGGCTCAGACATTTTTGTCTTAGCTCACGAAGGACGGCTCCAGAGCAAACTCATTTATGCAGCAGCCAAATCACTTGCTCACCACTTTAATGCCGGTAACTCACCGAGTAGAATTTTTGCTCAAAAGACTCCACAGCTTTGAGGGAACATTGGAGGGGAGACACCGGTGTCCCTGGGGAGGTGCAAAGTGCAGGGCTCTCCACACACGGCAGCCATGCACACCTGTCATGGCAAGAGCGCAAGAATGTGTTTGTTTTCCTCCTTGACTTTCCACCTTTCTGCCACAGCATTCAAGGCACTTTACAGTTCAAAATAAGCGCCTACAATGTTACACGTAGGACACAAAAATTAAAATGGATGGAAGGGGAGGGGAGGGGGAGCAAGTGAACTTGGGGTTGAAGACCGAATAGTCAGTGGGCTTGTCCTGGGGCAGGTGATGAAAGCCACCCAGGTGGGCCACCCACAGCTGAGGTCGGGGTCTTTACATACCCCAGCTCGCAGACTGATAAAGGAACCAAAATAAAAGCTCCAATAATGGCCTGGCGAGGACGGTGCGTGTTGCACGAAGGGCGGCTTTGAGAGCAGCTGGGGATTCACCTGCTCGAGCCACCCCCCCCCCAAAGAGTTCACGACATTTTGGAGAAAGAGATGTTTTAAGTCCCTCCCGTGATTCCTCACGGCTCCCCTGCACGTTCCTCTAATACTGAAGCTCACAGTCAGGTCCAGCCATCAGCAGGACAACCCAACAGGGCCACCTGGTCATTTATCCCCCTGTTGTTCTCCGGGGGGGGGGCCTGTCGGGTCGGGATGCGTCTGATGCCCCTGCCCCCCCCCCGAGCTCAGCCTCGGGTGACCCAGCCAGCCCCCTCCCCCCTCCGCTGCCCGGCTCTCACACTGGCCTTTTGCTTCTTTTCCTCCCTAGAGGCCCTGTATCGATTCCGAGCCAAAGAGTGCTGGGATAGGTTTGTTCAGCAGATGGCCAATGTCAGCGCCCTGCTTTTGTGTCAATGGAGCGTCGTCAGCAGGTACTGGCAGGTTTGGAACGTCTGGC